TTTTTATCACCGGTACCAACCTTGACCTGCCAGATGTCTCTGCCCTCATTTGATTTACCGATGCTCTTCAACTCCATCATTCCTGGGAAATTTGTACTCTTCTCTTGCAGCCAAAGCTCAAACTGTGAATGCAGATATTGGTTTAAAACGGATAATTCTAAATGCGAGAGTATTCCAAATTAACACAGAATTGAAATGAGAGAAAAAAATATACAAGCGTGCTTAAATCCTGGCATATATAACCGTCGCTGCAACTTCTACAGCTATTAAAATGAATTTTCTTTTCCTTTTTTCTTTCTTTTTGTTATTTTACTTTTTAAAAAAATCAGTTTCATTTACTTATTTATTTATTTAGGGGCGGGGTAATTTGTTTTCTTTTTTATTTATTTATTTATGTATTTATTTATTTATTTATTTATTTATTTATTTTGAAATAGTCGTTGAAGTTAATGTTTAAACAGCTATTTAATGCCCTTAATATCTACATGTACATGTTCAAATCACAATTGAGTTTCTATATGAATAGATCTTATAATCTTACGTCTTCCCACATGAGGTAAGTTGTCCAGATGTCACCTGTTGCTCGTGTTGCCATGTCTCGTCGCTCTCGTTCAATGGTGCTAAAAAATTGATTCACCAATTTATTAATATTCAAGTTCATAGATATATATTCCAAAGTAAAAAAAGAAATATTTTAAGCAGTATAAAAATATTATCAAATGTAAAATTTAATTTCTTATTAAAATTAATATCAATTCTATATTTTGAAGGGGAAAAAGGAAAAGTAATTGACCAACTACATGTTTATGTGTTAACAAGTATTTCAAAATAAATAAGTTAGTATTTCAAAACAAATATATTTTTTAATGTTTTATTCTGGGGATTTCACAGTAAAGTTTTATAGAAATCAATTTATTCATTAACTTCGAAAGGAATTCAAACTCATGAAGTCGGATTTTAAAATCAAATACGTGCAGTAAATATAAATGACTGTTGATTAGTATATTTACATTATGTGAGCAAAATGTCTTGTAGATTAATTAACGATATAACTTTTAAAAATTCTTACTTTTCCATGTCCTCATTAATTATCGCAAAATCCAGCTTCATCTTCCTTAGAGATTTCTTGACCTCCCTCAGTTGATTGGGAGGGACGAGAATATCCGTCTTCTGGGCCAGGGAGGGGACTTGGAAAAAGTCGATCTGGGAAAATTATGTATTAATTAAATTTTTATTTCATTACTTAACTGAACTTCTTTAATAACATCCCATTGAGAAGGAAATATATCATTTCCTCCCTAGATATTTTGCAGTCAAAAAAGAGGGGAAAAAATACGGAAAATGTTGGCAGGTAATAAAACTTTTTGTGGTAAAAATTCATACTTCGGGTCCAGCCTGCAGGAGATTCAGGTATTCTAGCTGCATTTCATTTTCAGCGCGAACGGAAAGGACCTGATATCTGAAAAAAAGAATGAAATTTTATAATTTATACATGTACAAAATACTTTTTTTTTCATGTCCGTGCCTTATTTTTATTGTTTATTCAAGAATAGTTAAAAGATAAGAAAATAAAATGCAATTTAAAAAAAAAGAAGAGAAAACAAACATGTTACCCTTTGAATGACTTCCGTCCTTTGGAATTTTCAGGATTTGCTATCACTGCAACAATCAACAGAACGGAGAACACAAGCGGTCCAGCAATCCCAGCCATAACGTCTCTCTGGGCACACCGAGCTTGTCCAAAGGCGAGATACGTTATGTCCGAAAACAGAGAAACGGGGGGTATTTTATTCCATATCTGTATTTTGATTGATTTATAATACAATGAAATTTATTCGGTCTCTTAAATGTTGGTGCGTGTCCCAAGGAGTTCTTCTTGTCCTATAAATATATGACTTCAGCACGAGAGAAATATATGGCTAAATAAATATAGAAATATTAGTCAGGTCCATTTAAAATCAAGTGCAAATGTCCGAATAACAGTGTGCAGCTCGGGAATATAAACTCAACTCTTTATCTTTTATTTTACCCATACTGTTCAGTACCCCCCCCCCCCCCTTGTAAGAACCTAAAGGATGGCACAAGGGTGCCCTTATAATTATTCGAGTACAGATTATGCTATAGAAAACTGATATAATTTACTGCTGTGGCTCCTCGATGGTAATATGTGCAATAGCCTCCTTTTCTCTCTCTATTTCTTTTGCTTTTCATATAATTTTTGTGCGCTTATGACCCTCCCCCCCCCCCCCCCCCGAAAAAAAAGTTATGAAACTCGTATGAATTTCCACGTGGCTACCTTACTATGTGTGAAAACCAGTCGTGGCCCATTACTTGTTAATTAGAAATTCAAATTTAGCCACTTTTCCTTAATTGTTCTTCTAGTAGCACTTGCGAAATGCAGCGACAAAACGCACTGATATATAATATTAAAAAAAGAGAGAGAAAAAAAAAACAATAATAAAAAGAACAGAAGCGCATTAAAGATCCGAACATTATATCGTCAAAATATTCAAAATGATATTGAAATTTTCGTTCGGAAACTTTTCTAATGATGATCTGCAAAGATATTATTTTACATAACATTATTTTTAGGTATATGAAAAAATGCAAAATAGAAATAAAATAATAATCTATCCAGAATAAGCAGAATTTTTGATGTTTACATAAACAATAGTATTGCCTTCTCCACGTTATCGTTATCAATATAAACACTTACACAAGTAACATATTTTCTTCAAAGTGTCATCTTATCGCCAGGTAAACAAACATGAGCAATTTATCAGACAGAAAATTGAATTATATTGACCTGCTATTCTTCAATGTCAAATTCTCTCTCTCTCTCTCTCTCTCTCTCTCTCTCTCTCTCTCTCTCCATGCCTATGGTACAGGGATCAAATGGAGGTGCCCCCTTTTTATTTTAAAAAGTTATCTGCTTTTTGTCTGGGAATTCAAGGCTTACTGCCTCCCCCTTCTTATTCTTACTGTAGCAGTATGTTATAGTAGTCTTTCTAAATTATTTAACTCCATTTTTTTCTGCCGATATAATTACATGTATAATAAAATACCATTTTAGGGATTCACTTGGGTGGTTCCTTAGCTGGATATGTATTATCGTGGAGGCAGCTTCGGTTGTTTGTAATATAGCAAGAAGTAAGTACAAATGTACTTTTGATTCTGTAAACATTGAAATAGATGTGGTATTTATTTTTACTATTTTTCTGGGTTTTTTAATTTTTTTTTATCATCATCTTCCGAAAGGTTTAATTTCTTTTACGAGGCCTTATTTGTATAAAAAGATAACGCTGTTTCTTTACGTGCATGTTTTAAATAAAATCTATCTTGAATTTTACAAAAACGTAAAACTGAATATTTACATTTCCAATGTCTTTGTCCGAGATAAAAGTACAAATTGTTAAAGTACTTTATTTCTACATAAATCTACTGGTTCATCGATAGGCGCGGTTAAAAAAAAAATCACGTGCGGGGCGGGACAAATAGAGACAGAAGCGGGGCTATTAGCACGAGAATTTGCAGAATCAGGAGCATGTAAATATAAGGAATAACTGTCAGATTTTTTGGATTCATGGCGATGATCAATCGATTGGCTTGCGTGATAATTTTATGCATAAACGCCTTCGGCGTTTATGCAAATTATCACCCAAGCCACTCGATTGATCACATCATGAATCCAAAAAATAAGACAGTTATTCCTTAAATAAATGCACATTTTATTGATTGATTGTATGTTGTTTTACGTCCCGTTCGAGAATTTTTTCATTCATATAGAGACGTCACCATATACGGGTGAAGGGCTTCAAATTTAGACCTTTACTCGGTACTAGGGGCCATCGAGCAGAGAGGGTTCCTTATCGTGCTAACGCCTACCGTGACACTGGGCCTCGGTTTCGAAGGACCCGAAACTTTCACTTCAGAGTACCGAGCGCTTGGCGAAGGAGCAGTTGCTACCTATTTTTTTTTTCGACTTAGGTCAGTCGCGGAAGTGATTCGAACACACGACCTTCCGATCACTGAGCAAACGCTCTACTGCACATTTTAAGACTACTTGTAAGTCACACAAAAGAATTGCTGTGTACATGATTTTAATCCTTCAGCAGTCGTCTGGACTAGTATTTTCTAATGAATTTTTCCTAGTCTATGCATGCCATCTTTCATCGTAATTCTAATCCATTTCATCAAGATATGTTTTGCAAAATTAAACACTTCAATCTGATTAAAATCAGATCCTTGATCCGCTCCTTTATTTTTTTTATTGTCGCTACACAATAAAGGAGGGGATCGAGGATCTGATTTTAATAAGATTGAAATACTCTATATCCATGATTTATATAGGCATTGTAAGCTAATAGAACAGATTCAAATACATACTGTTATCACATCATTTGTCTTTTTTTTTTATATATATATTTTTCCATTAGTTGGGGAGTTGCTGTGTGCGATAGCTGCAGCAATTAAGGCTCTTGCAGATGCTGCTATATATACGCGTAAGTATGTAAACTACTACTACTATTGGTTTGAGAGAAAGAGGAAAAAATGAGTTTTCGTATGTTGAAAAAACTCATTAATCTCATAAAAACAAATGTTTTATCTACATCCTGCGAGTCACTGACGATGAAAAGCAAACAAGCTATAGCGGCAAAGTCACAGGTGCTTGAGGACAGGGGGGGGGGGGGGCTGTCACCTGTGGACAAAGTTGGGGAAAAATGTGAGAGCCATAGGGTCAGAGGTTTACTCTTGCAAGCTTCAGATTGTCGTACCCGCATTCTTGCTATCTCTCACTGTCACTCGATTTCCCACCAAAAGCCACCCCTTCCTCCAATTTTCAAAAACAGAGGACAATCGCATTCTTGCAATCTTTCACTGTCACTCTCACTTCCCTGCCAAAGGTCCCTCCCCCCTCCCCCCCCCCCCCCCCAAAAAAAAAAAAAATAATATTAAATTTAAAAGAGTTGAAATAAAAATAAATGGTTTTTTTTTATTTTCAGCCATAAAAAGTGCCATTACAGACGTTAAGAATATGTTTTATTTTAACGTCACTCTTAATTACACGTACGAGTACAACGCCACCCAATCAAAATCCTACACAGAGGTCAAGGAGGGCATTCTCAAGGACGTCAATGACCGTCTGTCTGGCTACGTCTTCGTCCTCGGTCTCCTCAAGAATGTCACGATGGTGTCTCTTATCTTTGTTGTAATCAAGTGAGTTCATTTCAGAACAAAGTATGACGCATGCGCAGATATAAAAACTGCTCTTTATTGAGAGGGAAGAGTAGACAGGTTGGTCATATCAAAACGAAATACATTAAGTAATTGATAATGGTTCCCGATGCACATATTGCGGAAGAGTATTTGTCTTTTGGAGATATTATATTCTATCAAATAAATTATTTAACATGACTGCTTTATTTGGAAAGGGTCAATTCTAGAATTATTCAGAGTTCCAGATAATATTTTAGCCCAAAGTGTATTTATTCCCTGATTTTCAAATCAATGCAGATTTTTATATTCAGCAAAATGATTTAAGAGTATTTTGTTAATATATCTATATTAATGTTCTGATATATATTGTAATTCTGAGCTTATTATGGAAATAAAGGTTTTTTAAAAGAGGAAAGAAAACACCACAACAGTTCCTGGATTTATTTAAATAAAATTTTAAAAAATACTAACAAGATTTTTGCTAAACCTGAGAAACTTTTTTTGACAAGGAAGATCATACAGTAGGTAAAGCAACCATAGACACATATTTTTTTTTCTCCATTTAAGATGATATCGTAGCAAGTCGAGAGTAAACCAAGATAAAAAAAAAAAAATAACGAGAGAAATCAGAAATTGTCAATGAAGCCATCATAAAAAACGTTATATGCAAACCTTTTATACTAACCGTCCTACTAAACAGAGAACCATAGAGACCTCTCGAGAATCTAAGAGAACTCTTAATCATTATATTCAAATACATATTATGCGTAATGTCTCTCTCTACAGCACTTTATTTAATAGGTCTTGAATTTAAACAAAGCTCGTTTTGTTTTTCGATATGCTTTTAATATGGTCTTCACTGCTTTTGTACACATAGTGTACTCTTTGATAACATTGCAGTATAAACTTTTCTCTCCGGCTAGGACTCATTTTTTCTCCAATTATCCATTGTTTTCTAAGATTGTTTTCTATTACTTATAAATACAATTGTTACAATATCGTTTTACATAGACGACACAAGCCTCTGTGTGCTTAAAAGTAACTATGCCTAGTGCGTAGTCTTTCTATATAAAGAAATTGATTTTAATCTAAATCATTGAATTCTTTCTCCCGAACTGGAAATCGTCGGCGCCATAACTTAGAATAGTCCTAGTTATTGAAACGCTTTTTTATTATTATTTAGTTTGGAAAAAAAATCAAACACTGAGCTAACCTAAATTCATATCATAAGCTAAGTCGTACTTGTATTATTCAATCCGTCGTACGCAGCATTTTCGTAGTGTGATACTTATTTACGACCGTACGCCCAGTTTTAATTTTCAATGCGTATTTTGTAAAATTCAATGCGTATTTCTGCAAATACTTACCTTATCTGGAGCTCTGATTATTGCAGCTTTTTATCAGGGGGAATCTGCAATCGCATCTTTCCCGACCTTTCCGACCAGCGGAAAAACGACTTCGAAAGTCGCAAGAGGATGCGATTTGGGGAATCTGATGCTGATTCCTTAACTTATTCTGTACCTGGTGGCATTATTCTTTTTTCAGGGCTCTGATTTATAAGAAGAAATTTCAGACAAACGACAAGTTTGATAACATCTACATAACGTTTAAATTACGAGACGTGGAGGAACGGCGAATAGAGCTAGGAAAGGAAGGAATATTTCCGCTCACTTGGAAGGAAGAGAAAAAATACGTAAAAACAAGTAAGCACTGGAAGCATCGTACTGAGTCGGGTTTTCTTGCTTAATTAATTCATAAATAATTAATAGGAAGACTGTAAATACTTTATACGACTAAATAAATATTCAGATGATTTCTCTTGCAATACTTTTAAGTTATTACATGTAATTAAAATGGGGGGGGGGGGAGGGGTAGGGATGCGCGATTTTATCGGTATACCGGTATATCGCGATTTCTCACTGCGTGATACGTATCGTGATACGGAGACTAAAATACCGGTATTTGGTACATAACTATAAATTCCGGAAATTATTCATGTATTTGTTCAAAGTATTGAATGACAATTATAGGAAGTGTAAAAAAGGTTGAAAACAGTTAAACAACGGCATCAAAATATGCTATATACTAAATAAATGAAAATTTAAAAAGTAAAGTTATGTTTTTATAGCATATTTTTAAGAAATATGATGGAAATTCATTTTAAATTGTAGTAAAAATTGAGTGTAAAAATATCACGATTTATCGTGATATTTTTGGGAAAAAATCGTGATATATCACAATACGAAATTTTGCCGATACCCATCCCTGGGGGGGGGGGGGGGGCTATTATTTTTTTTTTTTTAACTCATTAGTTCATTCATTACTTTTTTTCCTTTGTCACCCCACCCCATTTTAAACACAATTTTACGCGCAAGCAACAGAATGGAATATTCTAGTATGTAAAAAGTAAAGGATTTCTTATTTGTTCGTAACTGTTTCTTATCAAACTATCAATACAGTGCGATGCTTGTTAGTAATTGTGTCAAACTGAACTATCTAAATGTCATACATTTAATTTGTTGTAATTTTTTAATCGGAACAAGTGCTAGTCTACAAGGAATTTAATTTGTTGTGAATTTTTAATCGGAACAAGTGCTAGTCTAAAACAAATTTTACACCCGTCAGCTTCTTATACACATTATTCTTTTTTATCCACAAATATTCTGTTTATAGGATCTGTTGGAATGGCTATGAGGGAAATAAAAGCCTTGGCTAAGGGCCTGTTCCTTCTTCTGATTAGCGGTTGTCATACGGGCTTCTATCTCCTCTGTGATTACGGACTCTACTGGATACTAAACATGTTAAAAGGATTCTTTTCCAAAAAGATTGCGGCGCCTAGTATGTCTTTTTGTTTTATATTGGTTAGGTGTACTGTTGATATTTTTTTTCATTAGTTTCCAGAAATTAAAATGTTTCAAATATTTTGAAGGTTTATATATTTAAAGCGGCAATTGATGGAGATGACGTTACACATACCCGTACACCATGAATCATGCTTTTTCTTTTCTTTTCTTTTTTTTTTTGTTTGTTTTAGCTCACCTGAGCTGAAAGCTCAAGTGAGCTTTTCTGAACACTTGTTGTTCGTCGTCCGTCAGTCTGTCTAGTTGTCCGTCCGTCCGTCTGTAAACTTAAACTTTTCATATTTTAAACTTGTTCTCAAGAACCACTGGGCCAATTATGACCAAAGTTGGTACAAAGCATCCTTGGGTAAAGGGGGGTTTAAATTGTTAAATTGAAGGGCCAAGCCTCCTTGCAAGGGGAGATAATCAAGAAAAGACAAAAATAGGGTGGGGTCATTAAAAAATCTTCTTCTCAAGAACCACTGGGCCAGAAAAGCTGAAATTTACATGGAAGCATCCTGGGGTAGTGTAGATTCTAAATTGTTCAAATCATGACCCCCGAGGATAGGGTGGGGCCACAATGGGGAATCCAAGTTTTACGTTGAAATATATTGGGAAAATCTTCAAAAATCTTCTTCTCAAGAACCACTGGGCCAGAAAAGCTGAAACTTACATGGAGGCATTCTGGGCTAGTGTAAATTCTAAATTGCTCAAATCATGACCCCCGGGTATAGGGTGGGGCCACAATACGTATTACAAGGGGGAAATCTGGTAAACAAAAGCAGGGCCAAAGCTACTCAGGTGAGCGTTGTGGCTCATGGGCCTCTTGTTTGTTTTGTTTTGTTTTATTTATTATTGTTGAAATATAGCTATGAAAATAACCGCTAGATGCACAGAATAAAAAAATGGAATATGCATTTTCTTTTGTTTTTTGTGCGTTCTTTTTACTAGATTGTAAAGTTGATTAGAATTTATGAAGAATCTCAAAATTGCTACAATATACTAAGTGATTTTATGATAGCGTCTATACCTCATATATGTAGTACTTCAGCAGCATCTCTCAAAAGTATAACTTTTTTTTTTTTTTTTTTTTTTGTATCTGACGTTCATATCATTAAATCTATTCCTTTTCTACAGTCCCACCGCATTTGAAAATTCACGTCCATGGAAAAGGTTCCGTGTCAGACATGTACAGGTCATTGCTTACGTCATTCGACCCTCTGGCAATGGAGGGCGGGAGCTTGAAACCGGCTGGTTGCATCCCTACCCCCAGCACACCAAACTTTCGAATTTACAAACAAATAGGTACTTTTTTTGGACCCTTGTTTCAAGCATATTTTTCAGTTTTATTTAGAAATCTTGAAAGTAAACATTGTTAATAAATTTTAAGGTATTTCAAATAAAAGATCTATACAAATTTGTAGCAATCGGTTTGAAATATCCTTTTTTGATTGCTTTTTTTCTATGCGCTTAATCACTGAATTGATATTTTCAGGGTATATTTATCTCTTATGCCTATTCATGACCATCTTTCAAGCTTACGGCTTGAGGTTACGTCACGTGATTGGTGCGTGTTACTATCCTAGGAGGGAAAGAGCGCGAGCAGTTTGGCTCTATAACCATATACTAAAAACCAGAGGTGGATTCCTAAAATTTGCGAGGCGGCAGCTGAGAAGGAAAGCCGGGGTTTTGAAAGAGGAGGAAAAGATTAGTATAAGAAGTAGATTAATGGCGCAGTAAGATTTTATTTTGGATTTCAAATATGAAATAATTCATCAGATCATATTAAAAATCAGTGTTAAATGAAACGTTCAAGTGCGTGCAATTTAGCAAGAAATGTGAATTATAAAGTGGCATCATTAGAAAATAGCTTTCACAAATAAATAAATAGATAAAAGATTATCAAGCGGATCTATTAATGAAAAAAAGATAAATTTGAATAAAATAAATCGGACAACAATGGAGCGCAACTTATCAATTGTATAGTAAATGAGGACTCTGGAGTAGGGAGTTCAAAATTTCTCCAAAAAAAAAAAAAATATTAAAAATAGATAAAAAATTGTATTGTAGATTTCCACTCTGTAGGAGGTTTTTCAGTTTTCTTGGATTCAAAAGGAAGCATTGTTTATCGTGTGGAAATGAGGGTCGATTTGATGATAACGTGAATTTCTACCATTGTCAAAACAAAGACTGCACAGGCATGTTTATCATTTAATTTATCATTTAATTTAGTGATTTTTCTTTAGTAGAAATAAAAAGTGGTATATGTATAAAGAGGATGGAAATAGAAATTTGAATTTAGTTTTAACGATTATAAAAGTGCTATATCGAAATATAGTTCTTATTCTACAAATTTCTCTTCTCCCAAGCCAGAAAACCCAATCTTTTACTAAAATTGTGTAAAGTTTTATTGTAGATTTAATCAGTCAAAATGCCATTTCAAATCAACTTTCTCAGATACTGAGTTAATTAGTCCTTATAAATTTTAAATATTTTTTTATTACACATGTAATAAGTTTCGTTAAAAGTTTCAAAACATTGCACTTTCTGCACTTTAAAAATGTCTTAGCTATAGTAGCAAAACACTAATAAGACATTTTTTTTTGTTTGTATTTTTTTTTTGTTTAAAAATTTATTTAATTATAATTGGTGTATATTTTCAGCCGTATATTGTCTTGACTGTTTCACGGATCTAAACAACATGTGTACTGTTTGTATGAATCCTGTTGACTATGGCGATCACTCTGATATCAGCGAGGAAAGGTAATTCGTGGACGGATCAATATATATTATCATTTTCATTATTGTTGTTATTATTTTTATTATATATATATATATATATATATATATATATATATATATATATATATATATATATATATATATATATATATATATATATATATATATATATATATATATATATATATAGGATTAAAAAGAATGTCAATAGTGGCAAACTTACAATTTTCTAAAGATGGCCTGACTCTAACGATCAACTCTAACGATTCAATGTTGCGCTAAAAAAATATATTTCTCTAATTGCATTTTATTAAATTCATGATACAAAACAATAATTTAATATGTTATATACAGCGTTATTATTCTTTCCTTTTGAAGAGATTCTAGTGAAGATGAGAAAGAAATGTTAAAGCGCCGGGCGGATGCAGAGAAACTTCGTCAAGAACGTGAAATACAGTTACAAAAGAGGCGTCCGAGTGAGCAAATGAGGGAAATGAGGAGACAATTCGGAATAACCGAATCGGTACTAAAGACCAAAGCGGAAGCTGGGGTCAAGGACTATGCACAAGAGGATGGCGCTGCGTATGAAGAAGGCTATGAACAGTTTGAAGATTTTTATGAAGAAGACAAGGTTGTCGACTTGAAAGAAAAGGAATTCTTAAGTTATCAAAATATTCGTCGAGTGGATGATGACTGGGATTACGATGCCTATGATGATAAATCTCAGACGGATTACGTCACTGATGATATATTTGACGATGGTGAAGATGATTTCATTGGGGATTATAATTATCCGTACATCGAGCCCGAGGAATTAGACATGGATAGAGACATTATTTCGAAAACTAAACTGAATGTTTGACAAAGGAATTCTAATATAATTTTTTTGAAGTTAAAACTTGCAACTGAGACTCACGCAGAAAAGACCTGAACTATGCTGTTCGTAATACATCTACATATTACGTGTTGAGATGCTGTCCTTTGAACTTCTTTCTATATGGACACAGTGTCCTCAAAAAATTGCATGTAGTTCAGGAAGCCAAATTATAAAAGTTTGTTCAAATGTAAAGTGAATGAAGTAATGCTATATATTCAAATACTTGTACATTAAAAGATGTGCAAACATGATGTATAGCAATCTTTTTTATACCACCTGTTTGGAAACAGATGCTGAAACTATATACATAACGAAGCCAACCACAAGCAATTTGAAAAGAGATTTTTTTGTATTTTTCGGTACACACACAATGTGCCACATTAGAATTAAGAATTGTTTTTTTTATCATATTGAAGCGTAATGCTGATGAATATTTCTGATCACCAATCCTTTAGGAAAACAGATATCAGATTTAACAATATGTCTTCTAACCAGGGTCATGAAATTCATACTCAATAGCCCTTGCGACAGGGTTGTTAAAAATATAATGACCATCTTTTTAAAAATGATTTACTTAATTATGTACAATATCTATGAAAATCTTTTCTACTTTTTGATATCACATCCATTGTGAGAGATCATTAAGCTTGAACCCAGTTGAGACCCCATCCTATACTGCAAGTGACCATCATTTGAACAAACTTTGATATCCACTAATTAGTTTACCTGTTACACTAAAAAGGCAATTCATAAAGGTCCTTCTCTATACAGAACAGATTGCGAAGTCTCCAGAGTGCTTATATATAATTAGTGTCATTCAGTTTGATGATATTAAAATAGTAAATGGCGCATTAGTTAGAGCATTTGCTCTGGAGTCGCGGTTTAAGGAGTTGATCATTACGTCGCTGGTTCGAATCCACTGCACTTCGGATGGGACTGTTTAAACCCTTGTCGCAGTAGCTGCCGGTACGAAAAAGATCCCCCCCCCCCATTGCTCAAAGGCCTTAAGTGCCGAGCACAGGTCTGAATTTGCAGCCCTCCACCGGTTAGTGGTGGCATCCCAATTTGAGTGAAAAATTTCGAAGGGGTGTTAAACAACAAAAACAAATACAGTAGACAGTATTACATGATTGTACACTCCCCTCTACAAAATGGAATCAAACAGAAAAGTGGCATATTCCGTATATAAATTATATTTTAACTACCGTAGACGTACATTGTACGTTTTTCATTTAAGACATATAATGGCTATCAAAGAAATCTGCGTAATTTTCTATTTACAGACTCTGCGGAATTATGACCCCGTGGAAAAGGTACGTTTGTAGTGTACCTTCAATTAGTAACTATCAGGAAGGATTTAAAGAGTCTCAATAAGAAATTTTTTTATCACAGATCAATATAGATTGATTGATAGATAGACGCACTGATGATACGTGAACATTCATCTACATATATATACATTGTCCTACATTGTCCTGTGTCCATGTCCATTATCTCATAATTGAACATCAATTTAGAATTTTAATGTTAAATCAAATGTATTGATGACCAAATGTAATATTTACGTTCATATGGGAAATATCATAATGTCCGGACCAATTTATAGATATTGTTGATGATGGTCCGGAACTATAAGCAAAACTTTCTGCTCTCACCAAGGCAAATGTATCATCCGTATTACAGTTGTTATTGACAATTAATTGCTAATAATTCCTACTATCACAAAATTTACAATAAGTATAATATATTAGAACTTGGATGGTTTTCAAAGACATATTGACTATAGTTATAATCAACTATAGTTAACTATCATAATAATTTTCTATCGTATCAATTTACTGCAATAAATAAAGGTTCTTGAATAGTAAATCAAAGTATTTTTATTATGAATTTCAAATTGTTATATTTTATTTTCTCTTATTCTAACATGCAAGTTTCTTATATTGCAAGGGAATATCACTTGTATATTCACAAATTATTTTCAAATTTTGCTACATTGGTATGCAATTAAGAAATGTTAAGGTTCCAATCTTAAACAAAATTGTAGGATAAAGTTTCATTGTTAATAAAATAAAATGCAATGGAGAAGTACAATATGTACATACACGTACTATGTGGGAAATTTTTGTTGTATACAGGATCCATGCCCAATCATCCCACTCCATGCAGACGCTTCCTCTGAGGGAGGTACATGAAAGATGATATAATGGGTACTACTTTCACATAAACCGGTCATTAGATCTATCAGCTTTGTTACAACGCACTTTGAAAAATTACGCACTTTGAAAAAATTTTTCAAAGTGCGTTAATTTTGGGACCACGTTAACGCACTTTGGAAAATTTAATTTTTTTTTCAATATCGAATAAGTGCGTTAATATCGACCATATTAACGCACTTTGAAAAAAAAATGTGCACGGCTCGGTCAACATTCTTGCAAATTTTAGGTACAATAAATAATTATTTGAACCTGATTTAATACTTTTTCAGTGATGATGTCACTTCAGAATCTGAGATACAGACGTTTTAAAGATTTTTAGGGGTTGATTTCTTCCCAACAGTTCTCGTAAATTTTATAAAAGGGAAATGGGACTGTTTGAAATGATTGTTTAATAGCATAATTTCGTTACTTTTTATTTTAATCCAGTCTGTAAGAGGTTCGATGGATGTGACTTAAAGGGAAAAAGGAGCAATTATGATTTTTCTCTACCATGAAAATTCTCTCTCTCTCTCTCTCTCTCTCTCTCTCTCTCTATATATATATATATATTAGGAATGTCAACGAGTACCCGCTTAACCGGGTATTCGATCGAACGTCCGAGTATCGAATACTAAAAATGGTACTCGGTTACACGGAAGTGTATTTTTTTCTTATTTCAAAGTACATATTTTTATCAATAACTTAAATATACATACGGTAATTGGCGCGTCGTCATCTACACCTGTAAAACACCCGTTATCGCCTGTTGCCATGGCGTAGGAACCGGGGGGGGGGGTCGTGCCCCCCCCCCCCCAATAATTTTGCCGATATATAGATTACTATAGTAAACATAGATATTATATTGCGTGTGCTCCCTCAATAAAAACGTCTGATGACCTTTCCTTTTTTTTTTCTTTTTTTGCTTGTCAGGAATTTTTTGGTAGTGCCCCCTCAACTGTCAATTGAAAAATGTTTGGCTGTGCCCCCCCGCCCCCCCCCCCAAAAAAAAAAAACAAAAAAAAAACTGAAATTGCTTCCTACGGGCCTGGTGGCTGTGTATATACAGTAATTAGTGATCAATCACCTGGTACACAGCTGTTCTCACCTATTGTGGTCCTTAATTTCTGAATGGCTTCAATGATTGTTTTCAGTGAACATAGTTAAAGTATGGTCTATAATCTTCAAATCGTTTTTAAATTATTAATTGATATACGGTAGCGAAATCGGATATGCATTAGAAATGCCGCTACTCACTTCAAAATGGAAGAAATATTTAGAAACAACTAGAGTTTAAAAAAAATGTTGAAAGACAGTTTGCGTAGTAAGTTTAGTGTATACGGGGGAAACAACCAACATATGAAATGATATTAGACTAGCGATCCCAACAACGTCCGTTCCTTCCCTTTCGCTAGTCTAATCACCACAAACCTGCGCAACAGATTGTCCTCCTTTTGTGTCGATGAAATAGATCCTAAACAAAACTGTAAACCATTTGCAATTTTTGATGTATTAATTGTGTCGTTTGTTTTTATTTCGTAAGTAAATTTAGTACGAAAAACTCATTCCCCTTTGACTCAATTGTTTATATACATTTATAAACGTGATAAAACAACTTTGGGGGTTAACAGAGCTTAACCGGGCTTAAGAAAATTAACACACTTGTATGTATTTTCATTTTTACCGAGTACCCGGGTACTCGATCGGAAAAACGTCCGAGTAACCGATTATCAAAACATGACCGATTTGACATGCCTAATATATATATTAATATATCATATTCATGTGAACATACGCTAGACTGATTAATTTAATACTAATAAAATAAAACATTAGTCAAAATATTCATTCGACTGGAAGTTTTACAACTTCCGAAAAAGCATTTTCTATAAGTCAAGGTAGCATTTGACATCGATCCCGATGCAAATTATGTCACTTCCGTTTCGCACAGGAAAAACTAACACACACACTAACACACATAATCGCGTTACTATATCCCCTCAACCGTTGCGAGGGAATAATAATGTTGTCGATTACTAAAATTTAAGTCCAAAATTTTTGTTTTATACACATTTTTTTCAAAGTGCGTTAAGTGTGTACATGGTAAAAAATTATGATGTACACTCTTAACGCACTTTGAAAAAAAATTTCAAAGTGCGTTGATTTGGTCCCAAATTCAACGCACTTTGAAATTTTTTTTCAAAGTGCGTTGATTTTGTCCCAAAATTAACGCACTTTGAAAAAAAAATTTCAAAGTGCGTAATTTTTTCAAAGTGCGTTGCCACACAGTTTGTACTGCTGAACATATACATGTATATGATAAAGAGTTTACATATATTTTGTGTTTATATGGTATAAACACTTTGTATATAGTGATAATTTTTAAAACACGCACACAAACACACACACATACAAAACAAACAAACAAAAAACCCATTAATTTCAAAATTTCTTGCCCTCTTGAAGTGGTTGAAATATTACTCCTTTTCACAGATAAATGCATAATTGTTATAACAATGTCGATCATTCCAAACTCCATTTCGACAAATTTGGCCACAATGTTCTTTTTTATATTTGTTATTAGGCTCACCCTTGCGCCAATTTGAAAACGTTAAATTTGAGTGGCGATTCCACGTATAAATCCCCTCGCTGTCGATATCTGTTGCTCCAATCCAACAATTGCAACAGTCCCACCAATCAGTGCATTCGACTACAAAACATAAACAAATACATATGTGATCCCTGAACAGCATCACTCAACCGAGTAACTTTAATATCAATCATTCTGAATCCTAGATCAGAATACAGCTGTAATTGATGCACCAAATGGGTGCTGTTATGATACATATACTATTCCAAGTCTTGCAGTGCTAAGAAATATGCATCTCTATAGCTTACAACATGGTAATATTACTCTGTTAAGTGGATGATACAGTAAACGAACTAATAAGTAATTTAACGTACAAAATTTGGAGATGTCTAAATATAAAGTTATCTTTTTTGAGTTCTTGAGGAGGGATATTTTTTATTTTTCCGAAATATTTACAGATACATGTAAGTACATGTACATGTATTAATCACCTTACCCCTGAGGATGTTTGCATATAATTGTCTTTATTTATTAAATGTATTGGTATCTATATTATGGCCTAGTATTATGGCTGCATACTGACTTCCGTTTCGGGCTATCATTTGCATAAATCAAATATACATTTTATACAGTTTCTTATTAACCAGTCTGAGAACTTGTCACTTTATTGTTTAAGTTCAAAATATGTCAAAATATTCTTCGTAGTATTTCTAGGAAAACTTTAAGGTTCGCCCCATCTAAAAACCCATGAAATTTGCATTAAAACTATACGGGGAATTATCATTCTAGGTTTGGTTTCAGTTTGGCTGAGACGCATTTGGAAATGTGATATCTTATTTTTAGCTCACTTGAGCTGAAGGCTCAAATGAGCTTTTCTGATCAAAGAGTGTCCGGCGTCCGTCTGTCGTTCGTCGTTTGTAAACTTTTCGCATTTTCGACTTCTTCTCAAGAACCATTGGATCAATTTCAACCAAACTACCCACAAAGCATCCTTGGGTGTAGGGAATTTAAGTTTGTTCACAAGAAAAGCCACGCCTTCTTTCAAGGGGAGATAATTAAGAAATCGTGAAAATTTTGTTGCATCTTTTAAAAATTTTCTTCTCAAGAACAACTGGGCAAGAAAAGATGAAACGTACGTACATGTGAAAGCTTCATTACATACTCTAGATTCAAGTTTGTTCATATCATAACCCCTGGGGGTAGGGCGGGGCCACAAGAGGGGTTCAAAGTTTATCATAGGAATAAATAGGAAAGGCCTTTAAAATCTTCTTCTCAGAACAGCTAAGCCATTATTAGTCTTATTAATACAAAGTATTCTCAGGTAATGTAGATTCGAGTTAGTTCAAATCATGACCCCTGGGGGTAGGACGGGGCAACAACAGTCCGTCAAAGTTTACCACATAAATATATAGAAATAGCTTTAAAAATCTTCTCAAGAACAGCAAAGCCATTATTAGGCATATTATTATGATACAGAAGTATCCTCAGGTAGTGTAGATTCATGTTTGTTCAAATCATGACCCCTTTTCGGTAGGGCGGGGCAAGACAGTAGGTCAAAGTAGTATATAGGTGTAATGGTTATGAATTATTTGAGTAAAACGCATCGAAAATTTCAAACAGTGGAAAGACCTGGCAACCCTTGGAATGGACGTCGACTAGACAAATGGTATATAAGGGTATATAAGGCAAAGCTTTAGGAAAGGCAGGCATTCAGAAACTATCTGAAGAAGTTCGATGTTGAATCAGCAATAAAGACATTAAGGTATTCAATCCCTAATTGCAACATATTCAATGAACTTGAATAAATAACAGATGTGTAGGTCTTGAATACTCAGTATATTTAGACATAATTCTCATTTATTACTATTAGCATGTAAGGGTGGGATGTGTCCATACACAGACATAATTCTCATTTATTACTATTAGCATGTAAGGGTGGGATGTGTCCATATACATGTATATGACCTTGAATTAACTCCCTCTGTTTTTAATTGATAAAAAATCAATTAAAAAAACTTATTTGGTAAAAAAAAAATCGTTTTCAATTGTCATTCTATTAATTTCTAATGTGTTTTAGAGCTAATGCATCTTTCCATCACAGTATTTATTGATATTCTGATTATTGAATCTTTATTTTAAAAAAAAATTGCTTGTCCCCATAGACTTCAATGCAATCTTTAATTAATTACTTCTTATTTATTTATATTTTTGAAACTTTCTCTAGGTAAATCATATGGAAGCATTCTGAGAGTGTAAATTTAAGTCCCTTCTTCCTTATTCAATAATGAACTGATTTCTGCTTCTTTCTAGCCAATGTGCTCAGGTGCGCGATTTGGCCCATGGGTCTCTTGTTACTCTTATATTAATCATCCTCTTGTGTGAAGCAACGTTAACATGATCCAACATTTTATCTTATCCTTGGATATTCTGTGGCAGGTTTGGATGACATTGGGTCAATGAATCTGAATAAAATAACTCAGAAAACGTGTTCAAGATGACTTAAAGATTTGCCCTTTTTTAGCCGTATAGATCACATAAATATATCATTAACATTCATGTTGAACTTTGAATTGATCAGTTTGATGAAAAACGAAAACATGCTTCTTATAAAAGCATATAAATAAACATCCCAAATGTTCCTTTACGCCTACCATCAAATTGTAATAGGTTAATAGGTATGGTATAACAGGAAAATGCGCCAATAATGGATATATTAGAATTTGTCTTATATGTATATTGTTTTTGTCTCTACAGTGCTGATTTTAAGTCCATTTCATTAAAGCTCAAGTGTTAAAATATGTTTAATCAGGCAAATTTCAATGGAACTACTATCAATCAAGTTTTACTGTACATCAATCACCATAATCTTTGTTTATGTCCCAATTCTATGAACTATACAGTAATATACACTTTTGAAAATAAATAGAGAGGTTTAGCAAACCAACGTGTACGAGTAGGTATAGCAGGACCCCCCCCCCCCCCCGGAAGTCTGTGCATTACGTCATCATTTTTGCTAATGACGAACTTCTACAGGTATCCACTTACCTGTAGATTACCGAGTACATGTAAGTCAAAACTTGTAGTCTATATATCTTTAACTGCTGTTCATTTTTTTTTTTTTTTAAAGTGTGCGTTTTCCTAAAACCTGAAGATTTAATGAAATACTGATATAAAGAACTAAACGTCTATAATTGAAAAATATAATTTTATTGGATGTTGAATACACAACATCTAGATTTTCAAAACAGACTTTGACGGATCAAGATTATAAACGCTCTTTTCATTCTTTTTCTTATAAATATGCCTATGCATATATTTATTTTAAAGGGTGATATGCATATTTAATGTGTTTCCTAATTTTTTTAATATTAAGCACTTTTACATTTAAAAAACTTACAAGTACAGGTTATACTTTGCATAACAAGAAAAATAATGTAAAAGTGTACGTTTAATTCTAACTTGTAGTTTACAAGTACATGTACACATACAAGTGAGCTTGCTTAACTAGAAATACTCTGTAAAAAAGTATATTACCTTCATTCCAAGGAGGAAGAAAAGTTTCCATGATCCATGTATTTTCCTCTGGTGACTCTATCTCAACAAGGTGAGCTCCATATTTTTCACACTGTTCCTTTAATAGTTATGAATCAATCATTTCATATACAGTAAAACACACTTATAACAAATTGCCAGGGACGGAAGATTTTGCTTCGTTATATATAAACCTAATTTGTTATATCCGTTAAGTTTACAATATATTTTAAAACCCAAATGGAATAAAAATAATTTCGCTGTAAACGTCAATTCATTATAAGCGTGTTCGCTATAAGCGTGTTTTACTGTATTTGATGGATGAAATTGCGACAGCCTTTGGGATCTGGATATGAAGACAAAACAATTTTCATTCACAGTTATTTTAAAATAGAATATGAAATAATTGATGAAGAACATTTTACCTTGGCAGTGAACCAGTTATTCTTGGTTTTATTGAAAAAATAACAATGGTGATCAAAAGGTAACCAGCCATCAGGGCAAACTGAAAAAGAGGAGATTTTTGTTTAAAATCTGATTTATTTGAGCGACATTGATATTTAATACCCATCTTCTGAGCCTTTTAGTGACGTTGTCATGTTTATATTTAGCTTTCCTATCACAGGTAGCAATTCTGAGGAAAGGTGTAGGTCATGCAATGCTGTCTGTATTAAAATTTATTTGAAGGTTAAAAATATGTTAAAAAATTAGTTTACTTTTAAAATGTTATTCTTAGATGTTATTTTGAAGCACTTACCGCCATGTACAAGCCAAAATTCCCATCCAACACCAGCAGAAGTCCTTTTTATAGATTTTTCAGTAAGATGACACTTCAAGATTTTACACGAAAGTAACTCTTTATTGTACAAAATTCCTGCACATGCAGATTTTAGCATAAGACATCGCATTGCACATTTTGAACGACTGATGCTTTCGAGAAAGTTTACATAGTACAAAGAGTGCGATGGCAAAGTGTTTTCAAAAGATAAGTGTCTTATTAGTTGTCTGTCGTAGGATAGGGAAAAAGAAAAGTTTCTGAAGACACTAAGGAAGAAACATACAAGGAAACTTAATTCCAACGTTTTCTTACAAAAATGCCGTAAACACATATTTAATATGGTTACTTTCCAGGACATTAACATTGAAGTAGATAAAAACCAAGCACTGTTATCTTTGGTTGCTTTGTACCTTATAAAGAAGAAGAGTCATGAAGTTAAAGTATTCCTTGCAATTCCACTGAAAAGGTAAACATCTACAGTGTACATTCCGTCAATGATTATTAATTGTCATTATTATGGGTTATTAATAATGCATATTCACGTTCATCATATTTAATAAATGCACAAACCGCTAATGTCACTTTGCTTGATTGGGGTGAAGGTTTACATGATTATCATTATTCCTCAATATCAATTATAGCTAATATTAATGAAAGCAACTAAATGGTTGCATTTAAAATGTTCCAATATTTAAAAACGATGTTAATATTCAGGATGAAAATTTACAGAGTTCTTACTTAATTTTAATGTAAGTGACCTACTCTGAAAAAAATGACTTACAATTTATTGCATTAGCCTTTGCACGGGTATCTAAAGACAGCCCCAAAACAAATTAAGGTATGAAGTTTAGGTGCAACATGATAATGAGTCTATATTCTTATTAATGATCAAAGGCATAATGCATGTTTCTTATAATCTTTGTTATAATCAGGACATCACACTGGGCGAGAAAAACATACTGAAAACGAAAGATGAAGTATGAGTGTTTCACTTTACATTCTTCACCAAAATCCAGAATCTATCTATAAACTGTTACTGTGACTTCTACTTGTGTAAGTGACAATTACATAATTTTGTGTCTTTAACCAGTATTCAAACATATTGTAAATTCACATATTTTCCTGGGGTCAAATTTTCGTGGTATGAGTAAAAACTATTGGTTCTTGGGGATTTGATTTCGTGGTTGAAGGATTGTTGAGTTGTTAAATATATGACATTTCACATTTCGTGGTGGACATAAATTCATGGGTCTCTTCATACTTAGAAAAAAAAAAAAAAAAAAAAAAAAAAAAAAAAAAAAAAAAAAACCACGAAAATTAATGGTTTCAGAGTACAGTCTTTATGATGATTTTAAAGATTTACATAGTCACTGTGAAGAGGGAAGGATACTTATATTCCGAGATCTAGATTACTTAGTGAGAATCTGCTTTGAAGTATCGCATGTACTTAATTGATAATATACAGATAAGAAGACAGCTTGGGGAATCTATTTCTCTCAATTGCTATGGCTCATGAAAAAGAACAAATAATCGTTGTCCTTATCCTTTAGAATATACTTTCAACATTTAAATGCAGGAGTTCCAAGAAAACCATTTATTTTATCCCTTAAGATACAGCCGATTTCATTATTTAATAAAAGTAATTGTTAACAATGATTTGAATTTCAAAAGCGTGATAGGAATGTCACTCTTTTTCACAAACAAATGCGATATCGGTATTACAGTTTTGGTCATCCCAGAACCGTTTCGACAAAAGCGGACACAATGTGCTGAGATAAGATTATCTGGCTGATGTGCGTTCCAGTTAGAAAACGTGATATTTCCGGCGGTTCCAAGTAAAAATTCCTTCGTTGTCGATGTCCGTTGCTCCAATCCAACAATCGCAACAATTCCACCAATTGTAACAATCGACTAAGAATCATAAAAAAAACTGTATCATTTTGTGTCTTCATTAATACCACGGGATCATGAAACATCTGAAGCTTAAGTTAAAATTTCCATGTTTTACTGAAATATTTAATAAGAAGTCTAGCAGACCAAAATTAAAATTTCAATATTTTCAATACTGCTTCACAAAAGCGTTATCTGAAAATTTATAGATCAATTTAATTTTTAATTAACTTTTCACATGTGGTTAAACATTTGGCTAAACTCTTAAGTCTGTGTCTGTTTCATGAACATGTTGCCTGATTCAGACTTTAATTGAACTTAAAATGACACAACGTATGGATGCTTTAGAATAAGCATCTGTTTAATGCTGTTGTGATCACGCTAAAACATTTTCTAATCAAAGAAAATTAAAATAGAAAAATCCATCAATATTCATCTTCTTTGACCGACAGGGTAATGCTAAAAATATATTACCTTTTATGGTTAATGTTTGACAATATAATTATGCAATTATCAGACATTAGAAAAAAATCTTACCATCATTTGAAGGTAAAAGGAACGTTTCTAAGATCCAAGCATTTTCTTCAAGAGTTTCTATCTCAACAAGGTGTGCATTATGGTTTTCACAGTGATCCTACAATATTTTTATTCCATCAATTGTTATTGTTTACATTTGTCTCAAAAATAGATACCTTGAACAGGGGAAAAAAAATTGACTCCTGGAAACACCGAAGATGGGACCTGGTGTCTTGCAGGAGAAAACATCCCCTGTTGATGTGAGCCGACTGTATTGTATTGATCAGGTAAATGGAGGAATCCGTAGTCATAACGGTATGAAAACAATGCTGTAACAATTGGTACGGTACGGCCGCAACCTTGTTCTTGACAAACTTGTTTTACACCACAATATATAGACAATAAAATGGAGCACACAGTTCCTTTGAGTATTGGAAAACTTCAACTCCATAGAAAAAGACAATAAACTTCAAACTACGTTGCGTATGTCCTTAATATTAATCTTAAATTCAAGGTAACAAAATTAGATCCGTTAAGTTCATTTATTAACGTATCAGTGTTCAGTGTTCTCGTGAGTAAAAGGGAAAGGCTTATCCGGTCTTCGTTAATTGTTCAAAAGATTTTTTTTCTTAAATTCGGTAAGTATGCATTGGCATACTTTAAAAGATGTCAGATCCAAAATGTAGTTTCAACCTACAATTCCGTAAGATCTCGTATAATGCAACTATCAATTAATGAAGAATAATTAAACAGCAGTTGCATTTTTGTAAATTCAAGTAAATTGAGGGACAGTTATAAGCGTATTTTAAAGGTGTTTCTTTCTGATATTAATATCAATCATCTTAAAATTGTATTGATTGTTTGCAAAAAATTTCATGATTAAAATTTATGGCAAGCTGTCTTTGTTTTTAAAAGAGTTGCGCTTTAATTGTTTAACAATCATGGATCACTGACAAGACACATTAAAATGGCATCAGGTAAGAATTCAATAAGGGGTACATGTACTAGCAGCATGAAAAGAAATGATAAATGCGATCGAGCGTTTGTTATTCTGTATACCATATTGAAAAAATGTGCAGTAAATATTATATTTGAAATCAAATACATTGGATACATATATTTATACTACATAAATGTTAACGATTCAATAATTCTTTGTATAGTGGAGATATAGTAGATTAGATATTGTACAGGCTAGCAGTCTGTTAAAGACCAATAGGAAAAATGACATGAAAAATTAATTTAAATTTCACAAAGTACTCGACAATCGTTCAACTAAAGTCTCCGACTATTCGACTAAGCCGTCCGAGTAAAATTGACATCCCTAATATAAATGTCTCTATATGAACATGTCTATCTATCTATCTATCTATCTATCTATCTATCTATCTATCTATCTATATATATATATATATATATATATATATATATATATATATATATGAGCCAGTGTATGAGAAAAGGGGTCTTATGACATAAAAATCACAAAATCAGATTTTTGCTGATTCTTGTAGAATAAAACGCAAGGAATCAGAATATATAAGTTTTAATAGTATATCTTAATGATAAGTGCTTCATTTTATGGTTACAAAAGAGTGCAAAAATGGCTAAAACGTCATAATCCTGTATTTTGACTTCAAAAACGTCATATATCAACCCCGGTGAAATTACGGTTTTAATGAACAGAGTACTATTTAAAATTGTTTTTCTTTTGCATTAATTCTATTTTTCAAAAAAATGTTTAACAATCAATATTTGTTGTTTGTGAAATAAACAAAATATGGCATTTGTCACATTTTTAATGGAAAATAAATAGCCTAGGTAAGCTATTCTTCAGTCTGGGCTGGAGGGCATAATTCATCTTGACATCTTGGACGTACATACGGTCTGACCTTCTTATAAAGATACTGAGCTCTTTCTCTAGACATTCCGAGGGGTGCAAGTTCCCTAGGAAAATTTCCCGGAATCTGCTGAAGTCCATCTGGTTTTGATATTTTGATTTTTTTCTCGGCCGAATCACTATTTTCTTTTACAAATACAAATCCTGGAAAGTCCACATGAAATCGGAAAGAGTGGTATTTTGAAATACCAGGTAATGAGTTGAAAAAACGGCCCAAAAACTCTTTCCAACCGTAGCATTTCCATGTAGACTCTCTTCCGTTGTCGTAGAGAATACCTTTGTTTGTTGTTGAAGAATGATCAAAAACTCTCTGAAGTTCACTCATACTATCACAGTCTGTGCGACGGAACAGCTTTTTTGCCCTTGCAAAACCTGCGTCAATCAGACATCGTGTATGACCAACTACCTGCATCAGGTAAGTAATTTGATGATGCAAACCAGTAATCACTCGCCATGCAAAGTACGCAATCATTTTGGGCTACGCCGACTTGTACTGGCCATGAATAGCTTTCTTCGTCGAATTACAAGGAAGAAAAATGGGAGGCTCATCATCCCTACCTCTAGGGGCTGCAGGCTGAGGGAGGCCGTGTTCCTCGGCGTAGCCCAAAATGAAATTTACCACTCTCTGTACATCGTCAAAACTGACTGCATGCTTCGGCTTCCTTCCATGATTTCCATGTCGTCTAGGGACGGCCCCATTTGCTGAATAATGTTTCAAGAGATTAGAGAGAGACTTTTTCCCGACATCAAATAAACACTGGAAAGTCGATCTACAAATTTTCACATTTCTAAAACTGTAGTGGTACGAGTTCCGGACTCTTGATCCTTTTCGAGTGACAGATGACCCGGCAATGCTAATAGAACCCATGATGTATAAATCTTTTACATCTTTTTCCATTTCTCTAACATTAAATACATGGTCAAGAATTACGGAATTCTCAAACTTTGAAAAGCAACGCTGACCACATTTACAATTTTGTTTAATGTCATTCAGTTCTGAAGGGGTGTCATTTTCATTTTCACTCTCACAGTCAGACAATTCATTTCCTGATTGAGAGAGAACAAAATTGCGTATTCGGTCTAATCTATTCGGATCAGAGGGTGTATCGTCCTGATCGCTTGTTGAACGATCTTCCTCAAAATCTGAGTGTGAATTGGCAGCTGATTCCAACCCAAAGTGTGTATTGAAAAGATCATCTAGTTCCTAAAAATTAAAACACTATTAAATCTTTGAAATCGACGAAATATAATAAATTACTTGATTTATTTAACGAATCTATCCCCTAAATGTACTTCATGTTCATTTATAATTATTAAATGTATTAGTCCTATATAAATGACATAGAATTAAATTTGAAAGATCCACTTTGATTTTAAATAGTAGAATTTTGCAAAAAATGTATGGTTTTCTTATTATTATAATTTTTTTTTTTTAATTTCTATTCTTTTAATCTTGATTTGTGTTCAACTATTTAAAACTGGAGAAAAGAATATGATTTACTTTTTAATTCGTATATACTCTCTTTCTCTAATTTTATTTATTTATCTTCATTATTATTTTTATTTATTTGATTTTTTGTAGACTTTATCTAGTCTGTCCGTCAATATTCTGAGAGTTATGACAACTCTGATGCTAAGCACCGCGAAAACAGAGGGAAATTTAAAATATCTATTGGACGTTTTTATTCATTAATGTACATGTAACTATTTAAAGAAAGTACAAGGATTAATTTAAAGCAATTTGTAAACGTAAAATTGAAAATATTGTACAAAACGTAATTGTGTGTTAAAATCTTAATATATAACATCTAATCTGAAAGTTGTAGTTCTGTAAGAAATCCAAACACTCGTCCGACTAGTTACCATATATGTGAACATTTATTGTGCCGGTGACTTGTTTTTCTTCTTTTTATAATAACGTGGATATGGACTAAAAGTTATTTATAAGTAAATTCCTTGTAGTGATTTCTCACATCACTTGTAAAACTGCATTGTTCGGTAATAAACTTATAAAACAATACACACGCGCACATTGCAGTGTGCGCGTGTGTATTGTTTTCTCAGTTTATTACCGAACAATGCAGTTTTACAAGTGATGTGAGAAATTACTTTAACGCATCATAGCTGCATTATTCTGACAGGGGCGTAGCTTGACTTTAAATACATTCTATAGAGTCAAACCATAGGGTCCGGGGTTATGGGCCGCTTCAAGCCCCCAGTAGGTCCAAAAGTTAAACAGAGCCCTGGTAGAGGTTTAGTGGACTGACCCCCCCCCCCCCCCCCCAGAAAATGGATTTAGGGGTTTTAAAATGCAAATATCATACTTGTCCTGCACAGAATTTTCGTCAACTTTACCAATTTCATAGCGTGGATATGATACTATACATTATATATGAAAGTATTTAAAAGCTCACCGACCTCGGATTTCTGGTGATGTTAAAAAGTTAATCAATATGTTTACTAAAACTGTAACGCATTTTCAGATGAATACACATTTTATCAAACTTAGTTTTTATTTCGTCAAAACTATAATTGTCAAACATTCATCGATTTTTAATATTTTCCCATCACTACCTGCCTGGAGTTTTTCGGTAAAGGAGGTAGAGCCCAATCTTGATGATGTGAACGTACATTAAAGATTTGCTGATAATATTACAAAATATTTTCTGCAATGTATTGTTAATTATGGGAGGGGGTGATGGCAGTTACCTTATTGCCACAATGGAAGCTACGCCCCTGTCTGACCGAGAAAATAAGACTCACATGCTCATGTTGATTCATTTTTTGCAGTTCATTTCGGATTTAATCTTATATTTATTTCCTTGGTATTAAATTAATATATTGATGTTTCATAAAACTTGTAATACCTGTTATCTATAGCAGCTATACAATATCTTATTCCATGCCGGTCTTTATAGCTGTACGTAGCGTCGGTAGGTTACATAATCGATCTTAATAATTGTTGACTAAATTGTACATACATGTGTAAAATTATCTTAAATAAATACCTGAAATTCAGAATTGACCTCATCCATGATCACATGATGGTGGTGACTACTATGGTCAACTGATAACGTTCAATAGCGTAGGTAATCTATTTCCACGTTGAAATGGAGCGTCTTTGAAAATGCAGACGTCGCGCAATATTCTGACGTTTATGACGTTTTCTGTGCATTATGACGTTATGTCATAAGACCCCTTTTCTCATACACTGGCTCAAATATATATATATATATATATATATATATATATATATATATATATATATATATATATATATATATATATATATATATATATATATATATATATATATATATATATATATAAAGTGAAAAAAAGTGAACGAGACTTTGATTTCTGTCTATTTATACGTAATTATCGTACGATTTAATAATCCTATCAGTAATCGTTTATCAGGATTTGCGTTTACTGCCTGAATCGCATCGTGCATGTATTCTTTTGCATTGTATTTGATTGTATCGCATCGTGCCTGTATCTAATCCTATCTTGCATCATGTCAAGAAGACTGTTACATATACAGATACAACCCCTCGATAGGTTGTATTTTCAAACGAGCTATTTACAAAACGACCATAGAATTAGCGATATGATGACTTTAAATGAGATTGTTGACAGCCCTGTACCCTCAGCTAATTTTTCATTACACATGGTTGAAAATTTGAGTGCTCTTGCGCACTGAATCAACTAGGAGACATACATGTAACACGAAATGCAGGTGATAGTAGAATATTGATACGTAATTGAGGGATTTTGACAATGGAAAGCCGATGTCGTAATTAAGTTGTTATTAAGTCATAAACGTCTATAGTTTTTTTTATACTATAGTATACCATAGAAATTATTCTACGGCGTATAATTACCAGATAATAATTTCGAAGAAATAAAGACTTGACAGAACTTGAGATCTATAGTGTACCTTGATCAGCTTGACTCACTTATGTGCTCTCATTTAAGTAATAAAAAATACCTAACTTATTAACAAAAATAAATAATTATCAATTAATTAATTATAAATTAATTATCAATTAATGCACAAAAAGTTTACTTTGGCATTGATCCAGTTAGCCTCAGTTTTGCTCAGGAAATAACAATGGCTATTAAAAGGAACCCAGCCGGTAGGACACACTGAAAAACAAACCGAAAAAGAAAATTAAGAATGTGCAAATACCGTATGTTGAAAAAAATATTCTTATTACATATCTGTGTGTATTTATTCCAAATTAGAACTGTATAATAACTGTGATATATCAAACATTTCATTCGTGAAAAGGAAATTAAAGAACATCCGAGTTATATATAGCAGCTGGTTAAGGTATACCATTGATCGTCAAGTTCTGACGACTCTTTATTTCTGCCAGATTGTTATACGTTATTTATACGCCAGAGATTATTTTCACAAAGAAATATTAATATAGCCTTTAATATATTTATTTCTTACCAATAAGGCCGACATTCCTTGGACCTCTTCAGCTGCTTATTTTAGTTTTTGTATTTCGTTTTGATATTGTTGATATTAAGTTTTCTTATAGCAAACAGCATGATTGATGGGAAAATATGTTATGCTGAGTGACATTTCATTTTTTTTCTGACACTGACATTAAAACAGAAGCTGCAGTTGATGAACGAAAATCCTACTTTCAATTACAACATTTTAACTATAAACTATACCTCATCACAATAATTTTATAAACACATAGTGAGATTGGTCTAGCTATCGCATGACAGAAAATATCTCTATGAGAAAAAAATATCGTATTTCACTCCTATGATACCCTCTCAGGATTCCATATCTCGAAAGAGAATACATAAAAACCCTAAACGTCACAGTTTCTACTGCTTGGCTTCATATTCTCTTTGGGGACAGGAAGATATCGGATTCTGGGACTTTTTTTTAATCAGAAGTGAGTTGAGAGCGGCGCCGAAATTTTGTGTATGTGTTTGCACGATTTTATTTATGAAGATTTATAATTTAGTTATCAAGCTGGGATGAGTTTTTTCTTAGCCAATTAAATCTAAATAACTTCCTTATATCCACATAATAATAATGCAAAATTGAACGAAAGCTTCCGATTTTGATGTTTTGATAGAGCTATTTTTCACTAAAAACAATGAAATATGGCAGCAAGTGCGCAACAACTGTAAGGAAAACCTAATGATCATTTTACATACAGATATAAACATGTTATCTTTATTTTGGAAATTTCTACTTTTTTTTTCAGATACAGTGTTTACTAACCATTATAAGAAACGACATTCCTAAGCTATGTCGATTTCTGTGTACTTAGTTATTTATTACATAAAGATTGAAGACGCAATCGATATTTTACAATGAAAAATAAACCCATCTTCTTTTACAGTAATAACAATCGTTTATTTAACGATAATAATGAGTTTTATTAAGATGCTTTGAAGTCTTGTTATAAAGAGATTTTACTTTTGTCATGCTTTTTCTCTCAATGGGAACTTTTGTAATAGGTAGGTATTTTTTTCACTTTAAATCACATAGTTTAACTCACTCACCATTTAAATATTTCATATACGCATTGTTCTGGATTTTTTCATTGTTAGAAATGAATTTTATTTCACAGTTTAACATAATAGGGAATTTTAACAACAATGGTTGGTAAGCTCTATCACAAATTCGGAAAAAAATCCTGTTAGTTACTTCTTACATGTAATACCAGCAGTTATTCTAGCAACAGAAAGCATTCCTGATATAAAATTGATGAATCTTGGGGTCCAAATAAATTATTACATAATGTTTTACTTGATTTATCTTTTAGTAAATTGTTGCTTGGTGACAATAGAAAAAAAAAAAAAACTTTTCTAATATTCTTTTTTCATAACATGTAATCTTTGGGTAATTGTTACAAATTTGAAGAAATGGAGACAAACAAAAAAATAACATACTATTATTTTGGAACCAGAATTCCCATCCAACATCAAAACCTGTCCCATTTATCATTTTTTCATTCAAATAACACTTCATGAGTTTACATGATAGAATAACGTTGTTGTACAGGATTCCAGCACATGCTGATTTCAGCTGGATGCATCGCAAAGCACAGTCTGCTCGACGAATGTTTTCAAAATAC